TTAAGTTATCGAGAACCTAAACACTTCCGATTAAGTTATCGAGAACCTTAACACTTCCGATTAAGTTATCGAGAAACTAAACACTTCCGATTAAGTTATCGAGAACCTTAACACTTCCGATTAAGTTATCGAGAAACTAAACACTTCCGATTAAGTTATCGTGAACCTAAACACTTCCGATTAAGTTATCGAGAAACTAAACACTTCCGATTAAGTTATCGAGAACCTAAACACTTCCGATTAAGTTATCGAGATTCTTAACACTTCCGATTAAGTTATCGAGAAACTAGACACTTCCGATTAAGTTATCGAGAACCTGAACACTTCCGATTAAGTTATCGAGAACCTAAACACTTCCGATTAAGTTATCGAGAACCTTAACACTTCCGATTAAGTTATCGAGAAACTAAACACTTCCGATTAAGTTATCGAGAACCTAAACACTTCCGATTAAGTTATCGAGATTCTTAACACTTCCGATTAAGTTATCGAGAAACTAGACACTTCCGATTAAGTTATCGAGAACCTGAACACTTCCGATTAAGTTATCGAGAACCTAAACACTTCCGATTAAGTTATCGAGAACCTTAACACTTCCGATTAAGTTATCGAGAAACTAAACACTTCCTATTAAGTTATCGAGAACCTAAACACTTCCGATTAAGTTATCGAGAAACTAAACACTTCCGATTAAGTTATCGAGAACCTAAACACTTCCGATTAAGTTATCGAGAACCTAAACACTTCCGATTAAGTTATCGAGAACCTTAACACTTCCGATTAAGTTATCGAGAAACTAAACACTTCCTATTAAGTTATCGAGATTCTAAACACTTCCGATTAAGTTATCGAGAAACTAAACACTTCCGATTAAGTTATCGAGAACCTAAACACTTCCGATTAAGTTATCGAGAACCTAAACACTTCCGATTAAGTTTTCGAGATTCTAAACACTTCTGATTAAGTTATCGAGAAACTAAACACTTCCGATTAAGTTATCGAGAACCTAAACACTTCCGATTAAGTTATCGAGAAACTAAACACTTCCGATTAAGTTATCGCAGTAATGAGTATTTCTGATATAAAGACTACATCGCCCATTCTATTTCAGGATTAACTTGCCAGGTAAACAAAGTATCATAAAAGCTAAATCGAGGAAACAAGACAAAACTTGAAAATACCTACTGACTTCATAATCACAACAATATCACGGAGAAAACAATAGTTTTACTGATACAACCACTAAGAGTAAACTATGCAATATTTGGGCAACCTCATGTTCACCAGATGTCTTTTACACCTAAACCTTCATACTTACCCACCGTTAACAAAACTTATGGGGAACACGTGCGAACAGTTATTTTTTCAGTATGTTTAAGAGTATTCATATTGTTATAGAGAAATATAACTTTATAATGTAATTGATGGTATAACGAGAATGTAATTATATTCAGGTGTTATCGCTCGATGGTTTCTGATAAAAGTCTACTGAAAGTCGCTGTATCATGGATTTAAGATTCCCATTCTCTTTAATAATTGCCAAGTGTTAAGTATTCAGACAGACATTTAACGAAACGGATATATCTTATCATAAGTAGAATCATATGTAGCATTCAGTTAATTGCTGTTATTGTAAAGTTCCGTTTAATATCACACAAAATTCTTGTTAAACTGAATTTCATTTCCTTCTATTGTTCTCTATAAATGAGGGTAACTTCATAGTAGGATTATAGCCTAATAGAACATAAGTTTTACTGACACCCGGAACTCCTTACCAAATTGCATGACTATCATATTACTGTAAGTCATTGATAGATAGCAACAGCGTTATTCAGTTAGATAAAAATCAATGAAGATATCATTTGTAGCCGATCATTACTGTAAACAGGAAATTAGCCACTATTGATAAAACGTTCATGTTGATAACATCCCTTCCGCTATCAAAGCTAAATTTAAGTAATGAAATATGCCTTAGTAATTATAGAAATGTATATTCCATATCACCAAAATGCAAACTCAAATCTCAGAATTCAAATGCTTTGTTTCACATCAACTGAGGCCGAGTGGAGAAACTAAAAATTACGTGGAGCAAATGCATTTTAAAATATACAGTTGCATTTTTATTGTTGAGTTTTGTAGAGTGGAGGATTTAAAGTCGTTAAGCTTATAATAGCATTGTCATGAAACAAGGTAAAATTGATTCAGTTCAATCAAAACAGTAGTAACAGGTACAATTTTGAATCTCCGTTGACGAAAATGGTCCTGTAGTTATTTCTGGCAAACAGAGGCGTCCTTCTTGAGCATGATCGCGTAACCTTCACATTTAAGTGTTATGTGTTTGATTGATACGTGTAACACACTAATGAGAACAGATTGCAAAGTTTGCAATCACTAGTGAAAGTTTTTGTGTCAGTGTGGCATTTAAACAAAAAGACTCTTTGTTTTTTTAAGGAACCTTCGAGATACTCGCCCGAAACTTGTATTAATATTGTCCAGTATAGTTTTCTAACCATGGTGTTCATTTTTGCAATGAATGATAATTGACAGCCTGCGAGGAAAACTGAAAAAAAAACATATTACTTGCATATATATTAAATGAGACCAATAAAGAAGAATAGCTTATCTAAAAATCACAACTCTTTTCCGATCGACATACACTTAGCTTGTTCTAGTGGTACCGATAACAAATCAAGATTCATTAGACAAACAGAGGAAACACGTGGGCAGGGAACACCTGGTCATTCATAAACTCGCTCTGCAACATATAGTATCTATATCTACACGTTACATTTGATTCCTGTTGTCAGTCTGAGCGTAAATGATTACACAAGATTGCAGGATCGGCGATGTTGACGCGTAAAGTTTATCAAGGTTCTACCGCTTTGAATAAAAAATTTTCTCTGCCAGAGTTATCGTTCCTTACACTTTAGAGGACACCGCAATGCGCTATGGGAAGGAAAATGTTGGATAAATAGCAGCAAGACATGAACGAGAATCTCCTACTTAAGACATACTGCTGCAACCCACTCGTACATTGACCTTAATTGGTCAGTAATAGAGCCATGTTCTATCTCGCTGTCAACATGATAACCTAACTGTAACATGTGTTTAAAGGGGGTTTTATCTGTGTCGTGTGTGCAAAATGGCCGAAGGCTTCGTTAACATCGTCGTTCCTATTAAATTTGTAATTAACACACATCGACACTTATATCTGAGTTTGCTGTCATTATTACAATGCATTTTAATTGATTTCGCAAATAAATTAACATTTCAATTCAAACAAACCCCTTCTTTGACCTCTCAATACTTATACTTTGTGTACATATATGTTAAATTACCACAGATGTTTCCGGTATCCTATTAATAGATCCGGCATATCATAATTATTATGTACCTAGGTCAAGAGAGACGAATTTATATCTCGATGACATACTTTTGTAAAATTCGAGTCGAATTTTGTTTTCATATTCGCTATCTGTTTGATATTTTTCACTTCAACGTGACATCGTACAAACATTTCCTTGATACGTTGAAAAAATTATCACAGCTTAATGGGTCCCCGTAGAGTATGTTGTACCCTATTTCCTTCAGTAACACAATATATGAACAGAAATAAGGAAGGACAGACATAAAATCAATACAACATATCAACTGTCAGCGAGTTGTTTCTTCTTCAGTGACGTGATGTATTTATTCAAACAATAGGATGTTATTGAGTAACAAAATGTTATCTTATTATGTGATCTACCTCAATCTATTACTCGCTAATTGCAACATATATCGGTATTAAGTGTTGTCAGCTGAAGGGGTCTATCTCGATTTGTTATTGTTTATTTTTGTTACAATATTGTCATGTTTATGGAATGTTTCATGTTTGCCATTTATCAAAATAACATTCTATATATATATTTCATATGCTGATTTTGTTTTCGTATAATGGTCCAGGTTATGTTTAAGTTATCAGCAAGTTGAGCATATTTTGAAAAAAAAAGTTACCAAGAATGATTTCTATTTGAATATACGTGCTGGTTAACACACAGATCATATCCTTTGTGCAAAAAGTATTGATGAAAACAAATGTATTCATAACTTTGTATCTAAACGACAGTAAATGTTATACCCAAGTGAGCTTGTGTGCATTTCATTTAATGTATTACCTGGTGTATTATTGACTTACAACTTATGCAAACTATCTCTGTCGCTTGGTTTTTAAGAAGAAACGCCGGCTCTTGATCGGTATTGAAATTTCTAAATTTTAGACTTTAAGTACTCTTGCAATTTAAGTCAGATTTAAATTAAGAAATTCAAGTCTGAAATTTAAACTGAATTCTATCAATTTAATTTTCTCTGTATATTTTCTCTTAGCTTGTTGGAGATATAAGTTCTCTCTTGTGATGTTATGGCTAGACTGTACAGTATATTTACGTTGTATATGTGTACTAGGGCGTGAATCACAAGAGGTTTTTCTTGGGTAGCTTTCTATATACACGGGGTTAGTAATAATTTTAAAAAGTTAACATTTAACATATTTTGACTCATTATGACTAAGAGTGTATTTTTTCGGTTTAAAATTTCCCTTTTATTTACAAATATAAGGAAGTCGTACAAAATGTAAACAAAACACGGAAGACACGTGACATATCTGACCGCTAATATCGTTGACAGAGACGTTGGAATCCTACCCAGTACGTCCTCTGTTAAAATCCAGACACTTTTGAGACGCTAGGACAACAAGTAAAATGGATTTTATGACAGAAATGATATGAAATGTCCGCGTGTAAATACACATCTTCAGGACATCTGCAGTTGTTGGATTTGTTTAAACAGATATTTGAATAACACGAAGTTTGAAATCAATAGTTGATAAAAGGAAAGTCGTGAGCAGTGTTATCTAACACTGACAACACTTTAGTATTATTACCTTTGGGTTTTTTTTTTTAATTCAAAACTTCGAATTTGATTAGATAAGTTAAATAAATAAAGTTTAAATTTTAACTTACCGTCGTCAGGATAAGGCTGGGAAAGGACCTCCCGCAGACATTTCAGAAAAGCTGCGTTCAATATTTCTTGCAAATGATTCGACTTGCTTAAGGAATCATTTCCAGACATGCTGTATTCACAAGTACTCCAAACGTTATCACTTGTTGCCTATCAGGTGCACGACATTTGCCAGTACACTACATTAACGATGGTTTATGTCACCAGATAAATCGTCAACATTGTCTAATTATGCCATGAAAACACGTTGATTTGTTTATGTATACATCCACGTAGTTCTGCGGTAAATACCGGTGTTATTTCAGTCTGTCCTGTTGTGAATCCGAACCTTTCTGGAACGTAAATAAGCATGATAGCATCAAAATTACGAGAATTATAGTCTAACATCTATACCAAGCATTTGAATTGAAAGTTTTAAAAAAACGACGCTGTAAATCACAGGCTTTTAAAGATAAACATTAAGTGATGTATACCTCAGTATATTACACGTGTATCTTCTCTCGCCGAATTACACCAGTATGAAATAGACTTGTGTGATTGTGTTGGGTATTTACATATAGAGGTATGCCTCTATCTTGTCAAAACATCCCATTCCACATTGTATGTTATTCTACCAACCATTTATGAGATACGTTTATATATTTAGATTTAGCCTCAGGTTAGCAGAGATAGTACTGAAAACGTCCTTTATAGAAAAATACTCTTCACGCTAGTTGTTCTGGTAGATTAAAGCCATGTCACATCCACTCCGTGATTTTCTTTTATAGAAAACAACAAACCAAAATATTTCAAGATGTTCTGTTATGTCGACTGTAATACCCTCATCCATTGACAAGGAACACCATTATTCATCATCGTTTGGCGATTTAGCGGACACTACAATTTCAGATAATCTCCTTTAAACCTTCAAGTGTTTATTTTGCTACATTCGGCATCCCTTTAAGCTGACATTACACTTACAGAGAAATTTCAAAACATTTCTAATCATGTGTAAACCCTATTAACACAGAACAAATTTGTCCTATTACGACTGCTACCCTACGGAGACCTATACACAGGATTTATTCGGTCTAAATGCCTTAGGAAAAATAGTAAATACGTGATGAATGAAAGTTGCCAAGCTTTTCTCTCTAGAAACAGTTCAGTATTAAAGTATCAGCATTTTTTTTCTAATTCTAATCTACATGAATAAAATCAAAATGTATTGGTGTTAATGATGACACGTGGTACAAATACATCAAAGGAATGTAACGTTTGTGTTCTTAGTTAAGGGATATGTGGTCATCTTCTGATCTTCCGAATGAACCTTGCTGCATGCATGAAATAACACACGATTTGATTCATTTTGTAACACTGGATCTGACACCTCTTAAATAAGTCCGGATGTGAACGTTAAATATATAGAGGAATTTGCTCTCAACAATATGCACTTTTCAAAGTTAGCTTTAACATCCCGATCGAGGAAACTCGCTTCCAAAATCTCTAGAGACTCAGTTGTCATTGTCACGTGACATGGTATTATCAATCAGAGACAACAAGCTCTCTGAAGAATAACTCTACTTAAACAGTTTAAATACACAAATTTAAACTAATACATTGTCATTCTCAAATGTTCAGATTAGCTTACCAAAAAACTTCAGGGTATGTTTTCATGCCCTATTCCCGCTGGACGTCTTACAGATGAATATCCGCACGTGCACAAGTTTCTGCATTACGAGTAGTCCTGAAGCGTGTTTGGTGTATCAGTTCGTCCACGGCTATTAAGTAGTCAGTCTTAGCGTACTCAACTTACTATCATCGATAGCATCGAACGCGCCTATGCCTTGCTTCGTCCTGAACGGCCAATTCAGTAATGCAGGTACGATGGTTGTTTTGGTGTCTTTTATAGATAAATCACGGGCTATATCTCCGTCACAAGGAAACCCCTGATCTGTATACACACCCCGTGTGTATAGCACGGTATATATTACACAGCATTGGAAGGAATACAAGCAGAAGTGAGCCGTTATAACTGATCAAATAGGATACATACACAACCGGACATGTTAAACGTCATATCTAGATGACAAGGAGGATACATGTAGGTAAATATTGTAAGTGAGTAGTAAGTAAATACCTAACCTATAAGTAAACGAAATCTAGATTTATTTCCTGTGCATTTAATGAGAACGACGACTCGCTTACTTATTTAATTCTAACTATATTTGTAAATAAACGGATAGTCAAGGATATAGGGTTTTTCCGTCGACCGTATTTTTCCTGTTATGAGTCAAATTTAAGAATGTAGACAACGACAAAGTGCTACACCACTACTATAACGAAGGTTTCAATTGGCTGATCTGTTTAGCAAACCACGAAATGTTTTGTGTTACGTGTCACCATTATAACAAACGCGAGATGAAGTCCGTACACATTGTCAGCAGTTGAGTCTACACAAATTGATATCAGAACGGACAATAGTCTTTAAAGATCACTAGAGTTATTTTCGTGGTCTTTATTTCCATTGAGAGCTAAATTCTATATTTTGTCGTCTCAATTACCATCCTATCCCCATTCGCAAGGGACGCTCCACAACTAGACGCCTTTTTACGATATGCAGTGACATTTAACAATTATACCCCCCACCCATTCACCTCCTCGTTGTAGCTCTCCCCCCAACCCCTCCAACCCACCCACCTCCTCGTTGTAGCTGAACTATTTTGCAACACCTGTGGTACCTTTCGGTAGAACTGATTGTCACTATTGTGCATTCTACGTGTTTTTACTGGTTATATAAACAAGACATCACCTGCTTACTGCGTGAACGTACGAATCAAAATGCAGACATTAAAGAGACTAAATGGTTAGATATTCATTTCATAACTAATAAAAAACATTATAACATCTAAATTTCTGTGTAAAATTGTGTAGTTATGATATTTCAAAGTTTGCATAAACATTTTGTTAACAACGTCAAACAATTAAAATAAAATTGGAGCGACCCAGCACTAATTTATATCATTATCCGTTTGGAGAGTGTAAACAATGTGTGCAATTTTAGATCCAGCTTCATAGAAATTAATTTATTTCGCTCTGTCACGCGTATAGCGTGAAACAAGAGGTCATTTTACAAAGGTCACGTGATGAACTCTGCTCTCTCTGATCAAAACAGCCATGGGTGGTAGACACAACAGAGAGTGTCGACTAGCGTTAGTTTGAAGCTCAGAGAGTGTTTGAATTATGTGAAGAGTCTGATTTCAAGTGTTACAATGCTTGCCCGAAATCAAACGCATGCGGACAAATAACAAAATCTACTCATTTCGTCCATTTAAACATAAATTTCGGTTGTGCTGTCACATAAATAAATAAATAGTAAGAATTGACAATCAAGACATATAAAAAAACAATTATCAGTTAAAATGTGGTGTTCCGACGGACTGTAAAGGCAAGAACTGTGTAGACATTGTTGGTATGATTGAGAAAATGAAATTGCAACTAGAATCATTGAACAAGTTACATTTTTATCTATCGCATTTCGTGTGGAAAACGTCACCATTATTTAAATATCATAATTTCGATTAAAGATGTCAAATTTGTGTCTGTGAAGTCGCTATTTCTTTATGTGAGTTAGAGTTACCGTTCGTTAAAATGGCCGTCAAGTTTGACACGGATATTTCAGAAGTTCAATTACGTGAAACGTAACAGATTGTTTACTGACCTTTGCTGACCTAATTATAGCGATAGTGTAACCACTGATGTCGGTGTAAACAAATCAGAGGGATATCCGGTTTGCCGACAACGTGTCACGGTTTGAACGGAAGCGAAATGTGAAAAAACAGCGCCATAAACAAAGAGAATTTGTCTAGCTCACCGTCTTTTGCGACGTTACCGGAATCCAAGCATCGTTCTAGTTTCGTCTGAAAAAAACAATACTATCAGTGTCGTCCCCTGATACAACACTACAACATTTAAAATCCAACCGTTTCCCTTTAAAGTGATTGTGAATAATGAAGCAGGGTTTTATTATAACCTAGAAATAATATCTTTAGTTATTTGGTGTATCAATACCCAACTTCACAACTTTGATTTAATAAACAACCCACAACATTATTTTGTCTATGTCGATCACACTGAAAAAATTGCAAACTTACCACAATGGCTTAAAAATCCCACGATACGGTTTTGATGATGACAATGAAAAATTATTTCGACTCTGATTTAGATGCAATTTTACTACAAAACCTACACAGAATATATATGGAGTGTTAATCTTGTCGATGGCTGTTATCAACAAACCAGAGTTTAAAGTTTCTACGACAGCAAAAAAAGCGTGTGAAAATATTCTGTTTTCCACCAATTTTAGCCTTCAGTGTGATCTTGTTGACCTATTTAATCATTACATTATAACCATTTACCTACTCGTTAAGGCTTGAAAATATAAAAAAAAAACTTTTAGATACGAGAAGAAATGCATTAGCGATGTTCACTGCACATATGTTGCATGGAAATTGCGCGGCCCGTGCTGTTTCTCTCTCATGCTGAGGCAAGGCACATACGGATTTGTAGCAGTGGGATGCTTCGATGCATGTATATAGATATTAAGTTCTGGTATAGAAATCCCTTGTAAAAGTCTTATGTCATACTAAGTCTGTTTAACTCGATTTAATCTGACATGATTTTAAGCAATCATATGTGACACTTTTAGTTAAATATTTTTTGAATGATTGGGAGAGAATGGGAAAAACACTGTTTGTTCCTTTAGTGAGATATAAACCTTCTCATGTTTAATCTAATATACATATTATCTGGACATAGATAGCACTGGCGTCCGACCCGACTGTTTCATAGCACAGCACGCTACAACAAAGTTTAAAAAAAAATTTTGCATGGAAGTAGCATTCGTACAGATTCATTTCCTATACGGAATGACCCACGTCGTTCGTCATGTTGCTTCCTCTCATAGCAATAACAGCGACAGGAGAAGCATTGGGATACAGAGTAGACCACCACGGTACATATCTCTGCGCGTTACCGTGGACGCTGTAAGCCAGGACCACGAACAGGATGTTTCTGTAGATAGATCGAAACCCGGACCTTGTATCATTGGGTGATAGGAGAGACATCCGTTGGGT